TTCAGGTCATTCAGGTTGTTTTTTTTCTTTTTTTTTTTACCATTTGTTTTTAGCAAGAAGTATCACGTATAAACAAAGATGAAAAGAAAGTATGGTTTATAATTAATAATTGCTTCAAATACTTATCATTTTAACTGTTGCTGATACTTTTATCAAAATGTTTCACTTGAATTTTAAACTGTGACCTGCCTGTAGACTAGACAATTTTAAGCTTTTATTTTTGCAGATGATATTGAAACTAATATGTTTTGTTAATACATACTTTTTGTAATTTCATGTCGGTTGACGGTGAGCTAAAGGCACTGACATTTACTGAAGTCGCTTAGATTCAGAGTGTCGCTAAACTTCGTGCACTGATTGATCTACCTTTAAACTTCTGACTTCATGCTCATTTTAGTTACTGCCTTCCTCTGAATTTAGCGAACGCTCAATGTTAAACTTGAAAGTCAAGAAGAACATATGAAAGTAGTCTCTTAAAAAGTATCTTAAAATCACTTGGCACAGAAAAGTCTTTTTTTCTAATTTCCAAGTCTTATTTGTTTCAGTTTTTATGACATTTCAGCTAAACATTTTTGATTAAGATTAGAAAATTTTATATATTCAAGAAGGAAGACGTGAAAGCTGTGGGATAATCTTGTTTGATTCCTATTATTAGCTTCCTGTATCTAGTAAATCTGTTTGGCAGGTGTGTCAAAATAAAAATTATCTTTGTTAGAACGTTTTTAAATCTTTTTATGTGTCAAAGATTCTTCTGCTGAGTCAGGGTGAATTATCTTGAAGTCCGTGCGGTAGATTTTCCACTAACTGATGCTTAGTTGCTAATACGGAAATCGGTCACTAAGACAAACGCAGACAATTATTGTTGTATTAGTTACGGTCTTAGTGTTATTTTCTACAGGATTTGCTGTAACGTACAAGAGCATTTCGCTTCTACATTTCCATGATTGTAGGCACCACAACAGTAAAAAATACCTTTTTTTTAATGGAGAATTTTTTATTTCATATTAGAGGTAAAATCTTCTGTATTTGAAGACTTCTGATGAAAAAACAACAAGTAGAAAAATAAGAATGTTTTTATGGATCTAAAATAGTTGTATATATCGGAATGAATTTAAAAGACTTAGTGTAAAAAAGGGCATTGATAAGGTTCAGATGACAGTAAAGTCTGTTGGAATAGTTCAAGCATTTTATCAGGTGGTGCATGAACCAGTACGTTATATAATAGCACTACAGTATTTACAACGACAGACTAGACGTATTACTCAGCAATTTAGCTTCAAATATAGAAGCAACAAACAAGCAAAAAAAATCGTTTCAGTTTTAGTTCAACAGAGCAAACCAAAACTGAGATAGACTGTTCAAGAAATGTATGGTAAAGACTAAGAAGCCAAAGACGGATAATAAGTTCAAGTTTTTTCTTTACAAAAAGGGCAGGAAGAGAGTTTAATACAGTAAAACTGCATCTTTCTTTTCAGCAAAAAAATTGCAATTTA